CTTGTTTTATAATACTAGAAAAATGATAAAATTCATGTGGTGAACATCTATTGTTTTCCTAGTATGTTCCTAGGTTCTAAGTAAATAAAAGCATATAGCTTTCCTCAAGGAACTGAAATGTATTCAGTTAGGACCTCAGGAAAATGTTGGCTAGTGGGGAGATGAATGAGAAGATAATAAATTCTTGGTATGATGAGGACTCTTAGAGGGATAAGCATAGCTTGCTATAGCAGCATATAAGATATTCACTTGAGAGGCTGGGGGAATCTTCTTAGAGGATATGATTTTTAACTTGAGTCCTAAAGAATAATTTCTTATCTCTGGGGTGGGAGAAAGTAGGAAAATGCAGCATTCCAAGAAAAGAAAGTAAGAGTTCCTAAATAAATTGGGATTTTAACAAAATGTTTTATTATAAAAATTGTAATGGGGTCAGGCACGGGGAGCTCATGCCTATAATCCTAGCAGTCTGGGAGGCCAAGGTGGGAGGATTGCTTGAGCTCAGGGAACTAGCCTGAGCAAGAGCAAGATCCAAGAGACCTTGCCTTGTGTCTACTAAACAAAGAAAAATTAGCTGGGTGCAATGCTGGGAGTTGGTAGTCCCAGCTACTCCAAGACTGAGGCAAGAAGATCATTTATGCCCAGAAATTTGAGGTTGCAGTGAGCTATGATGATGCCACGGCACTCTACCCAGGACTACAGAGTGAGACTGTTTAAAAAAAAAAAATCATAATGGTATTTAGGAATGTTGCTAAATTTTAAATTAGTGTGGAGGAAATTGATAACTGCAATATTAAGGTTTCTTTTCAGGAAAAAATAGTGTATTGTTTTTCTATATATTCTTTATGTCCTTCTTTTCCTTTTTTTTTTTTAAGATGGAGTCTCATTTTGTTACCCTTGGTAGAGTGCCATGGTGTCATAGCCCACATCAACCTCAAACTCTTGTCTCAGGTGATCCTCTTGCCTCAGCCTCCCACGTAGTTGAATCTATAGGTGCCTGCCACAATGCCTAGCTATTTTTAGAGACAGGATCTCTCTCTTGCTCAGGCTGGTCTCCAATTCATGAGCTCAAGCAATCCACCCACCTCAGCCTCTCAGAATGCTAGGATTACAGGTGTGAGCCACCACGCCCAGTCCAAGTCTTTGTGTCCTTTATGCAAATGTAGAGCTGAGGTTAAAAGCACAAATATTGTTGTTAGATAAGATCTGAGACCTTCTCTTATCCTTTAGTATATGAGACCTTGACCTTCCTTGGGCATATTACTCTCTAAGCCTCAATTTCCTAGACTGTAAATTAGGGTGACCAGACATCCGGATTTTGGCAGGACAGTCCCGCTTTTCAACAATTTGTCCCGCGCAGGCGGCGTTTTAAAAAAGTCCCGATTTTTGGAAAGAATGCACGAAAGGGCTGGAGAACAAGAAGGGAATATACGGTTTTCGGCCACCATATGGCTATTTTGCCAGAATATGAGTTTTATATTATTTTTGTTAATTTTATAATGTTAAACTGTAATAAATAATTGTTGAGAAATGATTATCAAGAACTGCTTATCAAAGTTTGCCTTGTTGTCAGGCCCTGCCCTGCGCCGTCCTCTAACCCCGCACCCCTGATACGCCCCCACTCCACCCCCCAGCCATGTTGTCCTGCCTTACAGATGTTAGAATCTGGTCACCCTACTGTAAATAGAGACAATTACATTATCTAATTTGGAGGTTGCTGGTAGGATTAAATGACACGTTATATGTAAAATGCCTAGCCAAGTGCCCAACACATTGCATACATTCAACAAAATTGTAGTTCTCCTCCCTCCCTTTAAACAGCATTATTCAGTTATAATTGATATATAATAAACAGGCTGGGTGTGGTAGCTCATGCCTGTAATCCCAGCACTCTGGGAGGCTGAGGCAGGTGGACTGCCCTGAGCTCAGAAGTTCAAAACTAGCCTAAGCCAGAGTGAGACCCCCGTCTCTACAAAAAAAAAAAAAAAGCCAGGTGTTGTGGTGGGCACCTGTAGTCCCAGCTACTTGGGAGGCTCAGACAAGAGAATCGCTTAAGCCCAAGAGTTGGAGGTTGCCGTGAGCTCCAAGAGTTGGAGGATGCCATGCCACAAAGTAAGCCTCCGTCTCAGTAAAAAATAAATATATATATATATATAATAAACAGTTATGGGACCTATTTAATGTTTTATACACGTATTTAAAGTGCACAATTTGACAAGCTTTGAGATACATATACATCCATGCAACTAGTACCATGATCAAGATAATGAACATTCCTGTCACCCCCAGGGCTTCCTCATGTCCCTTTGTAATCTCTCCCTCTGCCCTGACAACACCCTAAACTTTTCAAATAGGTCCTGCAATTCTTTATAAACACAAACGTGACTTTGTTAGTTTTGAATGTGATCTCTTCTCCAATTACATTTTTAAATTGGTGATTGTTATTTGGGAAAGCTATTTCTCTAGCCACCTTACTGAATTCAATTCATCTCATTACTATGGGTTCTTCAAGAAACCAATCAATCAAAATACTTGAAAAGATTTTTGTTTGTTTGTTTTTACTCTAATATATATTTACTGTTTTGTTTAGCCTCATTGCATTCAGTTAGGACCTCTGGAAAATGTTAGCTAGTGGTAGCAGGCCTATCCCTAACGACTTCATGGCCCGGGGTACAAAAAAGGGTCCACACACTATACATCTAAATATAGGGTGTCCCTAAAGTGCGTGTACAATTTACTATGTTAAACTATTTTAAATTGCTCATGAACTTTATGTCCACCTTGTATTTAAACATTACAAATCAAGCTAACCAACTGTTAGATTAAAAAAAATTATCCTCTACCTTGACCACAACTAACTTATAGCAACCTAGAAGGCAAGGTTCAAATTTAGAATCCTTGAGTAATATTCCTCCCTATTATACTTGAGGTAGCTTTTTCAGAACTGTACAGAATACCTTTGACATAAGTGCCTAGACCCTCAAGACTCCATCTTAAAAGGCATCCTGCCAACAAAGACCACATATTTACAGATTGCACCTACACCGATAAGGGCATGACTCTTTACTATCAGTCCCCACCAGATGACTCAAGGGCCAAAAAAGGAACGGGGCTTCTTTGGCGGGTGCAGTCCTTTTTCTATAGTGGCTGCCTTGCTGTACCTCGTGATAAGCAGCTAGGCATCTGTTGCCCGAAGGCCCTGCCAAAATCAAAGAGTTTTCTTTGCGAGATGCTGGCAGCTTCACTGACAATCTACCGGATCAGCCCAGGATATTTTTCTTGTCCATGTTCCTTTCCTTGGACTGGTTCATTCACTCCCTTTTGTAATTCCTTTTTTTTTCTCTTGATGTTAAATGTTACTTTTTAATGTGGAAATTTTAATAGTTAACATTTATATATTAAGTATACCACTATACACGACTAACAGACTTATGCAGTGGTTTGAGTCTGTGTGTTAGCAGCTTTGAGTACCCAGTGAGTGATTGGACAGTACTCAGGAGAACTGCCTCATTGGAAACTTCATCGGTAAAAGCTTGTGGTTTTTATGATTTAAACGACATCAATAAAAGTCTGACATTGTTGGAAGACAAATGTGTTTGGACCTGGTTGTCTCTGACCTTCACTGCTTAGGACAAGAACTTAACACAAATGACATTTACTTCAAAAGATGTTACATAACTTTTGACCCTCACATAAGAGACATTTTCCCATGGTAATGCCTAATTTTTCTCCTTAATATTAAATTTGATAAACACCTCATTCCCAGTGCTAACATTGGCATTATTTATGACCCCCAAGAAAATACAAATTTCTTAGATTTTGTGCTTTATTTTAGAAATTTCCTTTCAAGACTTTCTTAGGTTCTACAGGCTCCTAATCTCTGGTCCACCTTCACTCCCATTCCACTGAAAGACCCTAAGAATTGAGTTTTCTTGAACATCCTGATGACGTCTCTGGATATAATCATTAGTGGATAGATTCTAAGCAAGCCATCTGAACATTCAAAGGTGCATATAAAAAAAGGGTTGAGTCTGGAACTTGGGCCATCCAGAGAGGAGGACCTGTGACCTGGATAGGGCTTCAAAGTCAGCCACATGTTTGTTTATGTGGTAGCAGCTGGTCTAACTGGAATAACTTGGGAAGGAAATTTGGAAACCCAGTTGGAGTTGCAGCTCTGTCTCAAACTGCCTGAACTGTAGTCACTCAAAACTCTTTGTTGTGCCTTAAGTCATTATAAAATTGGGATATGGACATTTGTCTGAAGCACTCGCCAGTTTTTGGAAGAAAACACAATTTTTCTGAGCTTCAATTTCTGTGCTTGTTGTAGTCAAGAAAGCACTCCCATCCAGTGCACCTCACAGGGCCTTTGGGGACGAAAAGAGGGGTGGGAGAGGGAAGAGAAGGCATCACCTTTCGGAACTTCAGTTTCAACACCAGTAAACTGCTAAGAACATAGGACCAGCCTGCCAATCCAGTTCTAGGAAGGACAGAGGAAAAGGAACAGAAAAACTGCAAAATGCAGAGGGCTAAACAAATGTGAATTGTCACACAGGCCTAAAAATTGTACTTCTTTGTCCTCCTGGCTCCAGTATCACAATCCTACAACGTAAATCAGGAGCAAGATCAGCTGTCCGGAGCGGAGCCCCAGTTAGTACCTACCCATGCGCCCACCACACCCCCTGGCGGTCTTGCGGGGCGGGAGGGCGCGGGCCCAGCCCGCCGGCTGGTGACGCCCCGCCCCGTCGCGCCGCGCCTGCGCCGTGCGCACCGACCGGCCTCGAGCGCCCCGGCGGGAGGTAAGGGGCTCTCGCGAGGCCGCTCTGGGGGCGTCGGGCCCTGACAGGCTCCGGCGGGCCTGGTCCCGACCCGGCGCGCGGGCATGGCGCTGGGCGGGCAATGGGGCATTAGATCTGAAGTGAGAGCGCCATAGGGCTGCGTCTCGGCTTTAAAAGTGGAGGACCTCACTCGGTTTCGTTTTTGGAGGAGCTGTTCGCATCTGGTATAGGGAGGCCCGACGGCGCGAGCAGGATGGCCTGGCCGGGTCGCAGGGTGGAAAAGTTACCTGCTCCAAACCTACCCTGACGCACTTGGGGGCCCGGGTAGTCAGGGTCGCCGGCGTCTCGGTCCCGGCGCGAGTCCGCGCATCCGTTCGCTGTTGGGGGCGTTGGGTATGTGTGGCCCAGGTGTGCCCGTGACACTGCGAGGGATGACGCAACGCTCGGGGCAGTGAGTGGCCGACAGGAAGCGAGAGTCGGAGCCCCTGTCACCCCGCTCAGGGGTGGGTGCGGGCGGTCCCACACCCGGCTGCCTCCTCTGAGCTGTCCGAGGCTCAGAGAGGAGACTGTACAGGGGGACCAAGGGCCTTGACTTTCCTCTTCTGAGTTGGTCTCTCTTCCCCAAGTCAGGAACACAAAGCGACAGGCCTGAGAATGTGGGGCGCCATCCACTTGCCCAAATGTGGGGTCTCTGGGCTAGTGGAAGGGGTTCGTCACTTTTGGGAGTGGGGTTGCCAGTGATTTGGGACCTTTCCTAGGAAATTGGGTTTTTCACTTACTGATTACCTTTTTACGTAATTTAGTTAAGCTTTCAGTACTTTTTCCTCATCAGAAGCAGGTTGGTGGTCTGCATTCTCGTGTTGTAAGCACTAAGTGATAAAGTTTGTAAAACATCTGGCACAGTACTGGCACCCTGCAGTCATTAATGCAGTGAATATGATTGTAGTTACTTGACTTCTAAATGTTTTTTGACCAGTTTTATGTGAAATAGCCTCTTGTACCTTAAAAAAATAAAATCCCTTAGTAATACAAGAGTTCTCTATAGCTTACCTTAATGAAACATTTTATATACCATAGTACAAAATCAAAAACAAGAAATTCACATTAGTACAGTAGTAACTGACCCCCTGACTTTCTTCTGATTTCATCATTTTCTACAGTAGTGTCCTTTTTCTATTCCAGGATCCAATCTAAGATCCCACACTGCATTTAGTTATCTGGACTCCTTCATCCCCTTCCGTCTGTGACAGTTCCTGTCTTTTCCTGTCTTTCACGATCTTCACAGTTTTGAAGGGTCCTGGTCAGTTATTTTGTAGGGTATCTCTCCAGTGTTTTCTCATGATCAGATTAAGGTTATGAATTTTTCTCAAGAATATCCCAAAAGCACATAATATATGCCTTTGTCAGTCCATCCTGTCCGGGTGTATGATACAACTTTTGCTTGTAATGTTAATCTTGATTACTTGGTCAGATGGTGCTTAGTAGGATCCTCCAGTGTGAAAGTACTGTTTTTCTCCTTATAATTAATTGATATCTTGAGGGGAAACTTTTAAACTATGCAAACATCCCGTTTCTCCTCAACCCTCCCTTGCTGAATTTAACATCCCCTGGTGGATCTTACCTTGAGTAATTATTACTGTGGTGTTCTAAAGGTGATCTTCTGTTTCCCTCATTTCTTCTTTTCTAAATCGAAATCCTTTTGTAAAGATGAACTATCCTTTCTCCGCATTTGTTTATTTGTATTCAGTTATTTATTTTTATCAGTACGGATTCAGATACTTATTTTTCTATTGGTTATTATCTTATGCTTGTGTTACTTATTTTCTGTCTCAAATTATTCCAGCTTTGACCACTGGGAGATTTTTCAGGTTACTTCCTGTACCCTGTCAACATAACCACATCCTTTTTTGAGTATTTTCTGGCATCAGAAGATGCTCTAGGTTCTTATGTTTTTCCTAACTCAACCCCGGTGTCAACCACTTCTTCAAAGACCCTTACACTCTTTTCGGAGAATGGTATTTAAACTGTGTTATAGGTACGTGTGTTTCTACTGGGGTGTCATTGCTTCTCGGGCCTCACAGAAGATAGCAGTGTACACATACACATACCCATGCATACACAAAAACCTATATTTCTGTATTTATCTGTAAATTTAAGAAAAAACAAAAGTTCATCCTAATACCTCCACTTCTAGTCTGACTGGGTTCATTCTTATTTGTCCTTTATTTGTAACTTCTTTCTCTGACAGTGAGAAATCTAGCTCTCTTGTACAAAATAGTTTCTTATTTGTTCAGTCCTGGTATACATATAAAGTAATTTCAGGATTTCTAACCTTTATACCTGTGAGAAACAAATTTACTGAATAGAGTATACTGTAATTCTTTTTGTCTTTAGCCTTCTAGTAGTCAGTCAAAATATTTTCTAGTTACTTAGATTTTCTTCCCCACTTTTTTCATTGTGATCATGTTATTCATTTATAATACAGTAAATTTTATTTCTTATAGTTTATATTCCATTTTGGGTTTCCCCCATATCCTGCTGG